CAAAAAATTAATTAAATCAAATACCTAAACACTAATATAATACAATTTTTGCCATCACACGCACTTTTTGCCTGTGTTTTACTTCTGTAATGCTATTCTATGGCACTTAAACTATTTAATATTGATGTACTTTCAGTATGAAGGAAATTGCACTCGGGGAAATTTTCGGGAAAAGCCGGGTCCATTCGTCTAGTATAACATATAATGATAAAAGGGAAGCCGTAGGTGTTTGAAGATATTGGACCTCATTTAAATATTGTAGCAAAATTGTTTTTTATTTTACGAACAGATTATTGTTTTGATTTTTTATACTCTGTAAACTTCCCTCATTGCCTCTTTATTATTTTATAAATGTTGATTTGTACTTGCCAAAAACAACTTGCCGTTTCATTCTGTAATTTGTCTTTCCTAATTTTAGACGCGACAATATAAATACTAGTTACAAGGTTGTCCTAAAAGTTCGTAAACACTGGCAAAAAATTAAATACCAATATTATTCGCCATAATATTATTCTTCGTTATGTATAATGTCTTTGTATTATATATAAAGTAATTGTATTATGTAACAAGACTCAGAATGAAACATTTTAAAGTAATGACAATACATCCAGATGACACAAGAACCAATAGGTTCTACCACTGTCCTGGTGTGGAACTAACACTTACCCACATATTCTCATGCTCAGCAATGGCCGCAGCCTTGCAGAAAATTGACAAAGACCCAGAGCAGCAGCTTTACACACCCAAGATAGTGGACATTGCGAATGCTGTGATAGAGATGCATGGGGACATCTTAGGCTCTTCATTGGACACGACAACAACAACAGAAAATTGATATGGACCCAGAGCAGCAGCTTTACACACCCAAGATAGTGGACATTGCGAATGCTGTGATAGAGATGCATGGGGACATCTGAAGCTCTTCATTGGACACGACAACAACAATTGTATTATGTATTCGTCGTAATAATATTATTCGACAAGTAATAAGAAAATCGCTACTTTTGGGACAACATTATAGTACGCTCACATACGGGAAATCCCTCGTCTGTCGAAATGCCCCAGGGCCATCAGGGAAGGAACGAGAGGCCCTGAGATAGCAAAGAATTAATTATATGTTGGTAGATATTCCCGGATATATCTCAGGAAGTTCTAACAAGAACGACCTGTATAAAAAACACCAATCCATTCAACACGATCTCTTCATTACGGGAAACACAACTTCCTGATATATTCCAAGATATCGCTGCTGAGGGAGATAACATTCCCATTGATCATTCTTTCACAAATATTTTACATTGAGCTCAAGGATATATATATGGCCATTTTTACAAATATGCATTAATAATTTATTTCCTTCGCACAAAAAAAAATCACAAAGATCCATATTAAAATTTACAACCTTCTGAAAATATGCGATCAACAAAATAGTATCTGTCAAAAGGATTTATTTACACAGTCAATCCGTACCATTGCTGAGTCATAAGTCAAGTTTATATTATAACGTGTTTTGTGATTAGGGTTTGTAGATTTTTCATACAGGATCAGGCAATTAAGATATTTAATTTTTAACAGATATATGTGATTAGAAAGTGCTACAGTTGAATTCGCATAAACTCTGCGTTTTAATGAAGAACTGAAACGCTTGCTTGTCATCCTTAAAAAAGGACATGAAAGAATGGAGTAGTATTTGCTCATTCCGGGTACCTACAGTACAAGCCATGTATATGGGTAGGAGTACGCGACAGCTTATACTGTAAGTACACCACGTATCTACATATGTACAGTTTAACTATACACTTACTAAAATTGCCGTTTAGTTATTTGCACTGGCTGATTGCAAAAATAATAAGACTGAATATATGATCTAAAGGTGACCTTACATTTTCAAATAGCTGTGATTGAACAAGGCTAAATATGTTTTGGATTCTCTTATCTGATAATGCGATCATGGCTGAAGTCCATGCCACCTGCCGTTTGTATACATAATTGCATATTTGTTTCACGTAATAGAACTTCTATCTACCCAGAAACATGATTTTCTCAAACACATGCAATTTATTTATTTGGTCTTTCAGCTTTTAGGTATTTTCCTCTCAATCCGCATCTTATGATAATCCTTCAACGGGTTGTCCACTTGGGGAAGAATCATTGTAAGGCCACTTAGTATCCAAAACCGTTTCAATTCTTAACTTCTGAGTTGTGATTGCCCAAAGTGTCAATGAAGACATCCGCAGAAAGAGTTGCAAGAAAAAAGAGGAAATTGAAGGAAAGCTTTCAATTTGCATACAAGTTACTTTCGCCCTCCCACTCGAGAGCAGGAAGCTGGGGTGAGGAAAGTGAAACGGTGTCGGGTTCATTAGCCGATGGCCCCGCCTGGAGGAAACAGTCCCAATTAACTCACTCCACCACAGTCACAGGGTACCTCACGGTCAGATGACTTTCCAAGCCACCTGATAAGAATGCAAATGTCTCGTCGATTTTCCGCTACGTCTTCTAAATGTGGGTCGTCTTCGGTCGTTGCCTGCGATCTGTTTGTTCACGGCGTTGTGGACCAGGAAATAACACATTTAGCAGACCAACCTGCAAACAACAGCTCGAGACAATGCGATATAGTGCACCTCACTAACATGTCTAACACAACAACACAATTCTGTATTTAGCAACTTCTTTACTGTATTCTCTCCATCTAAATAATATTTTTTCTTTCTTTCTTTTGATAAAACTTTAAGTTGAGACTTAAAAATTATTCTGTAAATCACAGTAACGTTTTCGTAAAATATAAAATACAATGTTTATTTGAAAACTTTTTTTAGAGATACTTGTACCCCCAATTATAAACAAAGAAGAGAAGAAATAGAAACATTAATACTGTTTACATATATTCTTTGAAATTTGATTTGATCTAGCATAATCCAACCTCCAATTAAAACCCATCTCTATGTTTACCACGGTCTATATTGTTGGTTCTATTTGTAGTCATTGAAGTGATTAAGGATAGGTTTATTTTGAAAGCTATGGCTAAATGTACGAAAACTTAAACGTGTTTCTCTTTTTAGTCAATCTGTTAAATTTCCATTTTAAAAACTCTTTTAAGCGAGGAATCTATAAAAAAAGAGAGTTGTTATGATACAATTCACAAAACACGCTGTAGTAATAAGCTTAGCAATGTCTTCTTCACCATTAGTGATCATTTTACTAATCTGACTCTTCATTATTTCATATTTTTGTTTATTCTCTGGTCTGAGGATAGCAGCAGTTGATTGCTACAGCATGCAGAGTTCACTTCTTCATATCCGAACTTTGCTTCAGAATCCTTCGGCTTATAAATTAAGTCTAATGCAGTTCTAAAACCACCAATATTGAAATGCCCTCGATTAGGCAAGCAAAGTAGCTACTGAAAAATGTTATTGCTATCAAACTTTTTTATCGAAGTGTTTTTTTTTTTTCTTTTCTATTAACCCTTTTTATGAAACCGCAATAACTGTCACAACACCCAACTCACTCCGGACCACATATACAGTTGCCCGGCCATCCTTGCAGCCCTCTATATGGCAGACATCAATCCAGAAGAGGACATCCATATGAACAAGGCACCTTTGTTGGCTGGTATTGTGATCAGGGTGCACGGACCGATCTGATCTGCTCCATGGACAAGACACCACCACCAACCCTTTTTATTCATTTTTATTTAATTGAACAAGGTAACTTTCTAAAGGAAATACAGCCTTGGTACGTTGCCCCTTTTTTATAGGCGCGGCTCGACCCTAGCATCTCTAAGGGTCCTTATTCCACTCATCTAGCAGAACTAAGACTCGGGTTGGTACCAACCACTGCCAGCCGTGTAGACCGCCCAGGGTTCTAGAACTACTTGGGAAATGTTTCCACACATAATGAGAGGGAATCTGACAGAAGGGGATCTAGTCCAATGCCTATGTCATTACGATGAAATTTGACAAGTTGATTCTTCAAAATGTGCTAACTCTTAAAGTAGAGTTGTTTTCATATAAAATGGATCTCGTGTGAACACTTTAGAAACTTTATTTTCAGTTTAATTACGAATTCCTTATTTCCAAAAATTAACCGATTGTTGAGCCATTTGAATTTATTTGGCCAAAATAATTGTTGCAGAGATATACTATGAAATCACGGTTGGCCTTTTTTTTTAAACGCCATTTTGTCCAAAGTTTATAATTTAAATTAAATCGAAACATTTTCGGTTAGAAAAAAAAATTCATAACCGAGTGTAACATTTTTGTGATCTACTTAAGGATTTTTCCAAACATATTTAACTACCGATTTTAATGCTTTTATGCATGACTGAAAATTCTGTTCCGGGTAAGAAACGACCCTGGAGAATGTCTCAAATTGTACATAAGGTTGGGAATTCTTGGAGGAAAATGGTTGCTTCACTCTAGGGGCTGAAGAGAGTTCCGAATGACGTTTGGCAATAGCAGAATTAAAGAGGATTATCGGGTCTTGATCTTCTTTATTATCTCCCCCTTTAATTCCCTCAACCAGGAAATGTTCTCCGACCTTGAGACAGCGGCGGCCTTCCACATACGGACGTGTCTCAACTTGGGATTGAAGAATTAAATACTGGGTGTCTCTCCGTAGAGTCAATTTACTGTGAAAATTGTAAGGTAATATTTTCATGAAGTATTGTACGTTAGGATACCTTTAGTTAATAAAATAGTTCTAGAAATGTTTAACTCTGCATGCCTACGACTTTTCAGGCACTCTGCATTAAGTGCTAGAGAAATCATCCGGCTTCGCTCGGGCATGCAGAGCAAACGGAATATGTAAATCAGCTTCTGATAGAATCAGAAAGAGAATATGGTTTTACGGGCTACTAACCAAAGTTTATGATTTTCGAATCCAGATAAGGCGTTCAGAAAGTGGAATCGAACCTCTCCGCTTCTGAGCGGTTACAGGTTTGAAGCCTGCACCCTGGACCTCCGAAGTTCATCTGGGCAAAAAGTGACCCATGGGGGTAAAAATTTTCACGTCGGGAATCGAACCCGTGCCTTCTGGGTGTCTTCCAGATATCCATACACTAGACCACGTGGAAAAAACTTTTAGAATCAAATTGCATATACCAGGATTGACAATATAAAAGGGAATCCTTTTACCTAACTCTATATCATATCAGTTTCGTGGGGATAGGTTAACTATTGTTGAAACGTATGCTGAACATTTGGAATATGCTAATTAGCCTGTTTGGAATAATTATCATATTCCAGGGTTGAAACTATAATAATGACTCCTTCCACATCTAATCCTATATGGTGTCAAAGATTCGTCGAATCCGATCAAATTTCACGTATACCTGTGCAGCGAACATTTTCCCCCCTTCTTTATGTGTATAGATATTAGGTTAATATAACTATGCATTCATTAAATGCGCTATGACAAAATATTTCATACCGCTATTGAATAATCAGATTCATTTAAGTTAAAAAAAAAAGCAGCGGGGGATGATCTTCATGAATTTCGAACTTTATATCATTTAATATGAACAACTGATTGGCATTTTTTAAATATTTTTTTTCAATAAAATATTTTACCTCTTCAGTCAATATACGATGGTAGTTCCTCGTCTCTTTTATTTTGACTCATATAAATTATTCAATGGCGGTTCTAAAGAAATTGCTGCCAATCTAGCCTCTATTCTTGGATTAGTGGAAAGGGGTGTAGATGTGTTGTCCTCAGTAACTCTCTTTTCAGAATATCGTGGTTGTCCAATAATGTCGGAAATTATATCAAAAATTGACCACAAAATTTGAAAGTAAATATAGAAATTAGTTCATTCCCCCCCGACCACCCTGACCACATTTTTAAGGAATGCCAATCGCTCAATACACTAGAGAAACGGCTACGGTTATTTTTGATCGTTTTGAGAGGAAATATATTAATTCTATTCTCTAGTAAATTCCTGACCATCACGGCCAGCTAGAAGTAACAAATTTTGTATATTTGCAATTCTAGTAGGAATGAACTAGTCTATTAAATACCAGAGTTCTACGTGGTCAGGAAGTATATTAAAAATAGGTCACTAAAATTTGAAAAGACAAATAGAAAATAGGCCATTTCAGACCGCTCATATGTCTGAGAATTTGTCAACCTATAATGCCATCAGGTTTGAGCAGGTATACTAAATTTTCACACTTCTAGGTGCTCTGTGAGTATATTTAAAATTAACCACAAGATTTGTGGACAAACAAGGACGCAAGTTAAAAAAAAAAGCTTTTAAAATAAATGGTTGTTGAAATTTCTAGACCTTTCGTAAACTATGTAAATTACGCGTACAAGGCATGTTGTTTGTGTGATTCTAGTTACCAAAAAAAAGAAACGATCTCTTATCCTGTTTGTTCCATATTCCCAAACCGGGCTGACATTATACAAAATGTGTTTGTTTGTGAACTTTCAACAGTTTAATGGCCCCAAATATCCACATACACAGCTTCTCTTTAACTTCCTTCATTATAATGATATTCATCACAATTAAATCTTTCTAAATCAATAAACTCTATAGTGTATAAAAGTACCGAGTGAACCCTGAAGTGACAACTTCTCTTCTTTTTATTTCTGGAAAAAAAAAATTCAATGAACCCTGATGAACGATCAGTGAGTACAAGAGATGTATTGACATTTATTTACCTAATTCCCCCTTCTTCCTATTATATACACAATATCGTTAAAAAATGCTATTAACTTCGGATAAATATTGAAAAACTATAAAAATTAATTTAAAAACAAGCTTGAAAACTCATTTGTGTTCTATTTTTAAATAGACAATCAAATAATTAATTTAGGATGTTTATTAAAATATTTGCAATAAATGTAATCAATAGATGACAACTGAATTTATAATTTGTAATTTTTAAATATGATTTTTTAAATAATATCATATTCGAATTTCATTTATATATACGTTTAAAACAGAATGAAAATCAAATATTAAACCTTATTTTTCAATCTTTTTTTTTTTTTAATGTTTTAATCTATTTAGTAAAAGGTGTCATAGCTCTTTTGGATGGGGAATTGTATGTAGCTTTTGAATGTACATGTTTTAAAACGTATTTTTTTTTTTAATTCACAATACCCATTGCTTTTTTAATTATAGAAAATATATATGAATATTTATAAACCAACTCTTCCGTAATATTTGGATGTGAACAAAAACAATTGATTTGTAAAAGACGAAAAAAGATATATATAAATTTTGAAAAAGAAACTCTTTCCTCAGTGAATTGTAAATCCAAAAGACAAAAACCTCTCGCAATCAGTATCTTTTATCTGATTGCGAGAGGTTTTTGTCTTTTGGATTTAATTTAATGCGCAAGTTCTTTGATCTCAGTGAATTGTATTTTATCTCTAATTTTACAACGAAGGGGTTATAATATTTTAGCAAAAATTAATGATCTTCAAATTAAAGATATTTCGGCCAGTAAATATTTTCTATTGTCTCGACGTTTCGACAAAAATCTTTTGTCCTCGTCAGGAGCGAACACAAATCAAAACATTTCGCAAAGCGTTAAAAATTATTTAGAGAATAATTTTTAACGCTTTGCCAAATGTTTTTATTTTGATTCGCTCCTGACGAGGACAAAAGATTTTTGTCGAGACAATAAGAAATATTTACTGGCCGAAGTATCATTAATTTGAAGATCTATGAATTCCGGCCAGGCAGCCTCTATCTTTACGATAAAAAACAATGAGTTCTATGAGTAATGGGGGTAGTTACGCAAACCTACATTTTAGAATTCACTATGCCAAACTAATTTGTTAAAAATTGCCCAATTTTGAGGTTGACTAACACTAGGTTATTTTTGCCTAATGGCGTCTTCCCAGGGAAGATTCCCCCGGGGTTGGTCCCTGGTCAAGGGGACGGAGTACCTACGTTACGACATCTTCCTGCAGCTTAATTATCGGTCGGTCGCTCCCCTTGGCTGGACTTCCGGACCCATTGTCCAGTAGACGACCACAATTAGCCTCTGTGGAGGCGACAAACATATGACCACACAACCTGCTCCGGTTTTACATGAAGATTGGCGATGCTGGAGCAATGTGTTAACGATAGATTACTCTTGGTTTCACAGTTTATTTTATTAGGGAAGGTATGAATTAAATATTTGTAGATTATTCAATTCTGATTATTTTTGTAATTGTTTTGTTTTTGTTTAATTGTTGGCCATATATTTGATGTAAAGTTGCGGGAAGATATGATAAGTAGCTTTTCTCCTTTTAGAAATGGAGCAATGCATTCATTGCTCACATAGTCTTATTATTTCTTCACTTGCACTATATTTGGCTTATTTATTTATATAGTAATAAGTTCAATGGCATCACTTTTCCTTGGGTAAAATTCTTTATGTCCATAACTAGAGAAATTGAGCTAATCGAAAAATAAATATCAAAACCACGTTAATCAGTGCAAAATGTTAACCCAGAAAATGTTTTGTTTATTTGAGAGGAAGATATTTTTCACATTTTATGTAATCAAGAAAATATTTCGCAAACATTCTATTGCATAGACACGAAGCCACGGCATTGATGGCGCATTGTATTCGCTCTATCATGAAATGGATGTCCGTGCTGGAGTTGTTGTGGTGAGGCTGGGTAGATGGCTGCCCTATGGCACGTGCAGCCCGGGGCACGTTGATGATGGCCATGATTTGGTTTAATTGCCCTTTCACTCGCCCATTGTATCGGCAGTTAGCCCTCAGGCACAGAGAAGTTGGATCCTTGTGAAGATAGCTCATACGTGCCGAAATAGCTCAGGTAGTAGAGATTGTTAGAATGAAGATCTGTATTTATGGACGAACACAAAAACTGATCAAGATCAGAAAATAACAGATAGAATTTTGATAATTCTGACCTTGGACATATTTTCATAATAACACAGGAAATGGTACAGAAAAGAGATCCGTCTAAAAATGGCTACATTCAACCAATAATGGCGACCAGATTAATAGGCATCAGCCTAAACCATGAGACTTTTGTATCTTTGATATTTTTCTTTCTTTTAAACGTTTTCTTATCAATTTAGTACATACACAAAGGTAAGATAATCCTAGGTCACAAAGTGTTAATCAACTAGAATTCCACAAGTGTCATTCTGGCCAGGTTTTATAATTCCAGAAATTCTTATCTGATAAAAAAAAAAGAGCGCTACATGATTCTTCAATGTCATAAAAGCGTATTTTCTCTTTGCCAGAAGAGCTCAGGATTTAAAGAGAGCAAGTATCTCTTTGCCTAGAGAATAGATTGCACAATAATACCCTAGAGTTACGTCGAATGAGGATTTAACGAATATTACATAGGTCGGGTACAACCTTAGGTTTTAAGAGTTTATAGAGGACGTTTAGTATAAAACAATCTTAAGAAGTTTGTCGATCGTAATGTACATACAGAGATATCAGAAACCTTCATGGAGAGGAAAAGAAGGATGCTCCGGCTGTTGGTCTGGGAACTTGGAAGTACCTACCACTCGGTAGTGGATACTATGGAGAGATGGTCGTAAGAAATCAACAATGAAATAGATGTACATTCACATATATTTTATTAATCAACCAGACGCGATATTGAAATATTAGCGCCTATTATAGTTGAAACAAACAAAACAACAAACAAATTAGAACTTAGATTTAAATATTTACAAATTTACATGTATTATTCAACAGATTTCATAAAATTTATATAGACAAAGTGGCTGATGTTTTATTTATTTATTTCAATTCAAAACGCTATGTCCCCCTAGGGACACTTGCGCTAAATGTACACACAAATATAACAAATAAAATATTCAACATGGAAAGATACATAGAAAGCGACTTAGAAAGATTCAAAAATGCTATTTACATATAGAGATATTCTTTGAATTTTATTTACAGTTACATCAATAAATTTAAAAAATATATACAAATATTACCCTGATGTAAGAGAGTTAAATCATTTAGATCAGGAAACAAACGATGTCTCACTTCTGAAAAGTTCGGACAGTCGTAGATAAGGTGAAGAGCAGTTTGTTCAGTTTCTCCGCAGGAACAATTTGGTGTACAATGAAAT